GTGTGTGTGTGTGTGTGTGTGTGTGTGTGTGTGTGTGTATACAAGTGCACATGTCTGTACTCAAATGTGTGTCTGCAGAGACCAAAAGAAGTCAGGTCCCTGCAACTGGAGTTATAAGTGGTTATGGGACACCTGACCTGTGTTCTGTACCCTCTGCAAGAGCAGCAAGTGCTCTTAACTACAGAGCCACCACTCCTGCCCTTTATGCAAGTCACTTTATGTTTATTGACTCATTCTATCCTCATATCAACCACCAATCCAATGAAGAGGGACTTCAATAACTGTTCACTTTATGTTTCTTAGTCTTTATCTTCAGTCCTTCCCATGATTCCTATATTCCATTGATTTACAATAGAAATCAAAGCCATGTAGATGTCATGAATTTGGCCTAGGAAATAAATCCAGATAGATGGAACTTTTCATGCTTATTGTTTAAACAACCAGTCAGTTTCCCTCATCCATAAAATTCTAATTCACTGTTTTTGCTCTGTGCCCATTGCTTATTCTTTTTTGGAGGGAGGGGGCATGTGTGTACAAATGCACACAAACATGTATGTTCTGTGAGTGAAGGATCCGGGACAACCTTGAATGTCATTTCTCAGGTGCTACCCATCTTGCTTTGGGGTGTTTTTTATAAATTCATAGCCATATTTTTTAATTGGGTGGGAAGTAGAAAAGAAGTCCCTATTCTGGGCCCTATTCAAGGCATCTCCCAGTTCCACTGGGTTAAGGAAGGTGAGGTGTTTGGGAAAATTGGGTGGCCCCTGGATTTGTATACTGTGGCCCCTCACAGCCTCTATCTGACAGAGCCTAGTGTACTATGCTCTGGAACCCTGGGGCAGGAAAAACACCACTTTCATTCCTGCTTATTAACACTGTTGTCAGCCACCTGGTAACACAGAAACACAAGCAAGAAGGGTAGCACACCAAGCTCTGTAGTACAGATGGCAAAGTGCACATCTGTAATCATCCCAACTGGCCCCACTCTGCTCCAGTTACCAGTGAGCAACTTGGTTTCTGAGTTGGGGTCTCTCATTGTGACCTAGGGCTGGTAGACAGGGCTCTGCCAGTCTCTGGCTCCCTGACCATGGGATTGATAAGTGTGCACCACCACACCCAGCCTTTTGTTTGTGGCACACACTCTATGAAATGAGGCAAGTCCCTTTTTTCCACAGAAAGCCTACCTATTTATTCATTGTGGGGACATTCACCAAGCACAAGGATGGGGATTTAACTTAGGCATAGCATGGTGAATCTCAATAGCCACATTTGGGATATGAAAGTGACCCAGACTGGCCCACCAACGTCTTCTCCAGTACTTCTATGCACAAGCTCTAGGGAAAGGGTCAGGCTAAATTGAGAGGCTGCATATCTGGAAAGGGTGGGGCTCTTTTGCTCACAGGTAGACCACCTATCCTAGACTTAAACACAAGTAGAGCCTTGACCGTTATCACCTGGTATTACTTAATAGTGAACACCTGAACCCAGCCAAGTTCTCAGCGTCTTGGTGGTTGTTTTGGTGGTTGTTTTCAAAGCACCACAGGCCAAAGAAGCATCTTGTAGTTCCATGAATAGTTGTAGTTAGGCTACAACTATTTAATAAGCATTTCAGTCCTAATAAGTTATTATGCATGTACCTGTTGAGCACTGTTGTGTGTGTCTGTGTGTGGGTATGTGCAGATGAGTGCAGGCATCCTCAGATGCTAGAGGTGTAGATTCCCCCTGGATGTTGGTTTGGGGAATCAAACTCAGGTCCTCTAGAATCAATATGTGCCATTAACTGCCAGGCCATCTCTCCAGCCCCTGTGAAACTTTTTTTTTTAAGATTTTATTTATTTATTATGTATACAACATTCTGCTTCCATGTATATCTGCACACCAGAAGAGGGCACCAGATCTCATAATGGATGTGAGCCACCATGTAGTTGCTGGGAATTGAACTCAGTACCTCTGGAAGAGCAGTCAGTGCTCTTAACCTCTGAGCCATCTCTCCAGTCCCCCTGTGAAACTTTTTAAACTTCTGGTATGACTACACAATGCCATCTTCTTTTCCTAGTCTACATTAGTTATTTGTCCAGGACTAACATATCATAGCAATCATCAGAAACAGCTGCATGAGATGCCACCTCCAAAAACAGCATAGAAAGTTCAATGTTAAACTTGGTCCAGCAGTTTAAGCAGTCTGGGAGATTTTCAACATCACCATTTCTGTCAAGAATGTTACTGATAAGGAAAAGGGGCCAACAAAATGAGACCTCATGAAACTCCACAGTTTAGGACATCAGTGGAAACTGAGTAAAGAGACAGCCTACAAAATGGAAGGAAATCCTTGCCAGCTATAAATCTGACAATGGATTAATATCTAGAATACACAAGAGAATGCACTAAGCAGAAAAAGTAAACAAGAAAACATATAATTGGAGCAGGAATTCTAATTGGTATTAATAATAAAAACCCAGAGACAGATATTGGGGTTAAAGCTGAAGATCAGAGAAGCAAAGCAGCCAATCACTAGAGACTCTCATCTCTACCAATGCTCAGACCGAAGGGGTGGTCCTGTCCTCAGACTGCAGTGAGCTCTTGGCTTCCCCTGCCTTATATTCTTCTCTAGTGCTAGGATTAAAGGCATGGGATCCCAAGTGCTGAGATCATCTTTATGTGAGCTCTGTTTCTCTTTTAGACTGGATCAATATTGTGTAGCTTAGTGTGTCCTTGAATTCACAGAGATCTATCTGCCTATGTCTCCTGAGTGCTGGGATTAAAGGTGTGGCCACCACTGCCCAACCTCTATGGCTGCCTAGGGGTTCTCTCTCTCTCTCTCTCTCTCTCTCTCTCTCTCTCTCTCTCTCTCTCTCTCTGTCCTGTGTGTGTGTGTGTGTGTGTGTGTGTGTGTGTGTGTGTGTGGCTGGCTAGTGGCTTAGCTCTTAACTAGGTGTGTGGCTAACTAGTCTGCACTCTGATCTTCAGGCAAGCTTTATTTGTTAGATTACAAACAAAATATCACAATAATCAGACTAAAATGTCCTGTGGAGCTGAGCAGAGTTCTTAAAGGAGAAATATGAATGGCTAATAAATATTATTTTAAGTGGAAAATATCCATAGGCATCAGGGAAATAAATACAAATTAATTCTACTTTGAAATTTCATCTCACCCCAGTTAGAATGGTTATCAAGAGAGAGAGAGAGAGAGAGAGAGAGAGAGAGAGAGAGAGAACAAATGCTGAGATGATAAGGATATGTGGGAAAGTCCTTATTCACTGTTGGTGGGAGGTGTGGCTGCCATGGAAATCGGTCTGGAGGCTTCGAATAAATTAAAAAAATAAAGCAGCAGGCAAATCTCTGTGAGTTAGAGACCAGCCTGATCTACATAATGAATCCTAGGCCAGCCAGGGATACACAGTGAGAGCCTGTCTCCAAAACAAACAATCATATGACCCAGCTATACCACTCTTGAGCATACATACAAAAGACTGTGTATTCATCCCTGTTTGTTCTGTGCTACTCATAATTGCAAGGAAATGGAACCAGCCTAAATGCCCATCAACTGATAAATGGATAATAACTATATAGTACATATACACAATGCATTCAGTGATAAAGAAAAACAAAGATATGATATTTGCAGGAATTTGTATAAAAACATAAAAGATATACATTCTCTTAATACCAAGATCCTAGCTTCCAATTTTTATACACTTGCATTTATGTAGAAGCCAGAAAACTAGAAAGTAACCCACAAAGGATCAAGACACAGTGCTGAAGAGGGGGAAGAAAGAATGTAAGAGCCAGAGGAAGCTGAAGACTGTGGTGGAATGCTGTCTTCTAGCCACAACATGGCCATTGCACTCTTGATATCAAAGCATTTGTCATTCATTACATGCACAACACTGGGCCCATCAACATCCTTCCATGGATGGGTGAGGGGTTCACAAAGTCTCCCCCTTCCCAGAGAATCTACAGGCAGTCAATGTTGCAGGAAAGACATTTTCTTCTGAGGTGTGGCCATTAGTAATATGACCATGTTCCTGAAAATAACTTTCCACCCATTTTCCCATAAACAGCCCCAATGAAACTCACTGGGTCACTAAAAAATAGAGGGGTGTGGCGAGGTGGCTCAGCAGGTAAAGGAACTTGCCCTCAACCCGGAGTTCAATCCTTGGGATTCACCCAGTAGAAGGAGAGAAATGAGTTGCCCAAGTTGTCCTCTGACCTCCACATATGCACCATGGTGCCCGCA